CTAGTTTGATGCCCCACCCCCACCCCCGACATGGATAGTAATTTAGACAGAGGAAGAGGAAATGTACTTCTGAGATATAAAGGCAGTGGCCAAATTTAAAAAAAAAATCAAATTCTTCTTTCTCTCACAGCAACAGAAGTAAATGTATGAATTAAATAAGTTAGAAACTCTTTGAAGGTACTGAGTCTCTGGTTCCACTCACATTGATGAACATTGTATTTTCAATAGTACATCTTTGTTTTCAACAGTATCTCAAAGTTGCATTTTGCTCCAAGAAAAATAATAATTTCCTAGCAATTCAAGTCTAGTTCTTGAAAGAGTTCCTTGCCAGGGTCACCAAAGCAGATGCACATCATGTATCGATATGTAGATTTCAGAAACTGAAACACAGATGTCCAGTTTGAAGTCAGTGTGTGTCTAGTGCGTTGTCTTGAGTTTTTTTTTTTTTGGTTTGGAGACCAAGGTCGTAATCTTTAGTCCCATCGGCTCAGCTTCAAACCTCATTTCCCGCTGGGAAACAGCCCAGACCAGTCTGAATAAAGCTGTAACACGTTTTCCAGATTTGCTTTTCATTTTGGTCCCTACAATTTCCAACTTTTATTTATTTGTTCTTATTTTGCCATGTACTTATCAGCTGTTAAGTCTTTGTCCAAAGTGGTTAATTTCTCTGAGACTTAATTTCCGCCTCGGCACAATGGTCACCATTTTATTTATTTTACAGTATTTGTGGAGCAACAACTATGTGCCAGGAACTAAGTCCTGAAAATACTCAGAGGTGAATAAGCCTTGGTAGAGTTTACATGCTAATGGGAGAAGACAGGCAGCAGAGTTCTGCAGTGGCTGTATCATTGGTATCCATCAACTTAGTACACTAGATACACAGCTTTTAAAAATATTTTTCTGTGTGTATTTTGGTGCCCTCGTCCCTAGAAGCTTTACTCAGGTGATGTGGGGCTCTCCCTCTCCTCCGCCACCCCCCGATCGCTGCTGTGAGCGCAGCGGGGAGCACCTGGTGC